TTCCCGCGCAAGGAGCTGCAGGTCCTGTACCGCGGCTTCAAGAACGTGAGTCCGGCCCGGGCCCCCGTCTCTGCTCCCCGCATGCAGCGCCGTGCGCCCGCTGCCCAGCCGGGCACCCCGAGGCCTGGGGCGGGGCTGATCGCGGCTGTGCTCTCCCCCAGGAGTGCCCCAGCGGACTCGTCACCGAGGAGAGCTTCAAGCAGATCTACTCCCAGTTCTTCCCGCAGGGGGGTGAGACCCGCGCGCGGGCCGGGCCGGGCCGGGGGGGCGCGCGCGGCCGGGCGGCTTCAGATTTGGACCTTCATTTGCATGTCTCATTTGCATACTAATAAGGGCAAGGCGGGTGTCGTGGGGCCAGGCAGCCCCAGATTGGGGGGTCATGCATAATGAATTAGCATGTTAATTAAGGCGGGAGACAGGGTGGGGTGTCGCGTGGGGCCAGGCAACTTCAGATTTGGCAGCTTTCGAGTTGGGGTGTATTTGCATAATAGATTTGCATACTAATGAGAGCAGGGCAGGGGCAGGAGATGGGGCGGTGGCACGTGGGGCCGGGCAGCTTCAGCTTGGGGGTCATTGGCACATTGCATTTGCATATTCATAGGGGCAGGAGAGAGGGGTGGCGTACCGCGGGGCCGGGCAGCTTCAGATTTGGGGTCACTTGCTTAATAGATTTGCATAATGGCAGGGCAGGGCAGGGCAGGGCCGGGTGGGGCGGGCAGGGCGGGCAGGGCTCCCGGGGGCCGGCAGCCGGGAAGGGGCCGATGCCCGCGCCCGACGCCGCGTCTCCCGCAGACTCCAGCACCTATGCCGCCTTCCTCTTCAACGCCTTCGACACCGACCACGACGGCTCCATCAGCTTCGAGGTGAGCCTGTGCCCGGGGTGGCCCTCGCCTCGGGGACCGGCAGGGGCGAGGGGGAGCCACCTGCGCCCACGCGGGGAGCCCCAGGTGGATGCCTGGGCTGGGGGTGACCACAGTGCCAGACCCTGTGGTGGCCGGATGGGCCCAGCCGGGCTCTGCCCCGGTCTCCCGCCCCGTGTCGCGGGGGTCCCAGCCGCAGGCAGCCCTGCGACCCCTGCCCTCTGCCCCCAGGACTTCGTGGCCGGCTTGTCCATCATCCTGCGGGGCAGCGTGGACGACCGGCTGAGCTGGGCCTTCAACCTCTACGATCTGAACAAGGACGGCTGCATCACCAAGGAGGTGGGCCGGGCACGGGGAGCGGGGTCGGCCCCTGCCCACTACCCCCATCCCCCACCCCCCATGAAGGGCTTGGGGGGACGCTCTCCAGCCCTGGGGGTCTGGCGTGGCTGACCCCCGGGGCCCGCAGGAGATGCTGGACATCATGAAGTCCATCTACGACATGATGGGCAAGTGCACGTACCCGGCCATGCGCGAGGAGGCCCCGCACGAGCATGTTGAGAGCTTCTTCCAGGTGAGCGGGGGTCCCACGGCCCCGCAGCCCCCGCCCCCCGAGAGCCTGGGGGGGTCTGGCTGGGGTCAGGGGGCTGTGCCCCTACCCCCAGGCCCCAACACCCCCTTTGCTTGCAGAAGATGGACAGGAACAAGGACGGGGTGGTGACCATCGAGGAGTTCATCGAGTCCTGCCAGAAGGTAGCGCCCCCGCTTGCCCTGCTCCCCTGCCCGGGGCTGGCACCTTCTTGGGGGTGTTGCCCCCTGGCCTGGCCTGACCTGACTCGCCTCCCATCCCCCAGGACGAGAACATCATGCGCTCCATGCAGCTCTTCGACAACGTCATCTAGCGCCCGGCCCGATCCTGCCAGCGCCGTCCGGATCCTGCTTGCCCCCCGCCGCCCACCGGGAAGGGCCTGGGGGCACAGCCAGTGTGGGGAGCACCCCCCCGGCCTGCCCTGCTCCTCAGGGGGGCTGGGGACCCTCTCCCCCTGCATCAGCTGGAGGCCCTGTCTCACAGGAGAGGCGCCCGGTGGCCCCAGAGTGGGAGCGGTGTGGGCTGCGTGCCCTGCCGGGGTTGGCAGGTGCTGCAGCCCCCACCAGGGCCCTGAGCTGCTTCCAGCAGGGGAAGGGGCGGCCTGGAGCCCCGCTTGCGGTGTTGGGGGTCGTGGGGAGTCCTCCTCCTCCTCCTCCTCGCGGTTCTGGAACCGGCCCTGGGTTCGGCAGAGCTCCCTGAAGATGCCCCTTGCTCCCCGCCTGCACCCCCCAAGTCTTGCCGGTGCCCCTCGCTCCCCGCCCGCAGCCCCCTAGCCGCCCCGCCGACCCCGCTATTTCCCCACTGCCCTGTCTGGGGCCGGGGCTGGTGCCGTGAGCGTGTGCCGGGGGCAGGAGGAGCCCTGTCCCCTCTCTCCCGGGCGGGGGCCGGACGGGAAGCCGTCTTGCTGCGCTGGGCCCCGGGGGTGGCACTGGGTTGTGCGTCGGTTTGCCCCTGCCTCCCGCCCCGTGCCCCGCGCCACTGCCCCGGCCGTGGGGCCGGTGCCCCCTGCCCCCTCCCGTTTTGGACTCTGTATATTTTGTATAATAAAAACGATCCCGAGGGAGCGGACGCGGGGTTGGAAACACAAATAAACTCCGGTCATGTCGCTATGCACCACCCCGCGCTGCCGAGCCTCTGTGCGCCGGGCGGGGGGCGGGCACACGCGGGTTTTGCACGCCCGCACTCTGGGGAGTGGGCGTGCACACGTGTTGCACCCGTGCATACCTCCTGCAGGGCCCGGGGGGGAGTCCGGCAGGCACCAGCCCTGCTGCATCGGGCACCAGACCAGGGCCCAGGAGGGGATGAAAGACGGACCGTGGACCCCGGCCACCAAGAGGGACGGCAGCGAGCTCTGCCCCCAGGTCTGCGCTCCCCGTGCCCGCCACGACGCCTGGGTTGCATCTTCAGCGCTGCAGGACCTGGGGCGTGGGGTAAAAGGACCCTTTTCTATGCCCGCAGCTTGAACCTGGTGCCCTGGTCTGGTCCCTGCACAGTCCAAGAGGATTTAGAAGAGCTGGAGAAGGGCAGCTGGGGCAATGAGCGCTATGGAGGGGTTCCGCGGGAGGAGAAATGGATGGGGCCAGGCCTGGCCGGGTTAGGAGAGACGCTGGGAACGTCTAGGTCCGAAAAAAAAACACTAGGCCTGAGTTAAGCAGGATGTAGTGGTCTCCCTTCCGGGGCCGGGCCGCCAGTGGCCCTGCTTAGCTTACAAGAGCAGAGCTGCAGAAGCCGCGCCGCTACAACGGCAGGCAGGGCGGGTTCTGCGCCTCGAGGGGTCGCCCCAGAAGTGGGTCAGGGCTGCTGTCTCTAAGACGAGCTGCTTTTTGATGCCCCCCCTTTTGCACATGCGCAGTGATACGCCGGCCGGCCGCCCTCCACCCCTCCCCCAACCGGCGCATGCGCGGCTCGCTAGTAAACACACCGACTCCACTAGGGCGCAGGCGCCACCCCGCCGCCCGCGCAGGCGCACTCGAGCATGGTCGCCTCCCCCTCCCCCCTCGCTGCCCTCGCAGGCATGCGCAGTG